CTACATCCTAGATAAAAATGCACTTTATTATTCACATGATCATGGCTCATTCCAATAATTTGACAAAAAAAAATTTATTTACCTAATAAATGTTTCTTTGAGTAAAATTTCATATATTTCTCATTTAATGACCTTAATTATGAAACATAACTGAACTGACTAGTTTCAATGAAGAATACCTTCAGAATATAAGACCAATTCTTGCAAAATGTTAATGACTAACAGGAGTGTTTTTATAAATGCCAAATGTCCCAGTGAAATGCTGTATGTCAGTTACTAAAGGAGTCACATTTAATTTCATCAACAGCATTCTGTATTATATGCTTTATTTACAGTTTGCATTTCAGCTTTATGAGTAAATAGAATACTGTCCAAATATTATTCAGCCTCATTCATTATATCAAGTGATCTGCAGGCGACCACATCTAATGGAATCTCTCCCTTCTTCATTGTTCTTTTATACTTTATACTTCTCTCCACAGAATAATAGTGATTATTAAGACACAGAATAATAGTGATTATTAAGAATTGCAGCCAACCAGGGTTAGTTAGGCTAAGATAAATTTACTAAAAAACTTATTAGTCACTGATATTGCTTTGATCTGTTTTGAACACCCCAAATAAATAAGTTAATGCATTCTAAATATAGCAATTTGTATACTGTTAGGGAGAGCATCAGAGAATAAAACTATATAGATGGGGTGCAGAATAGGCATGAGGGGATATTTAAAAAGTAGAATCTTTTCCCAAGTAATTTGCTATTTGTAATCAAATCTTCTGTCACCCAACATGTTCCAAGTAGAGAATTAAGGAGACATTGTCATTCATTTGTGCTTTACAAGTTGATTTATTGAATTCTTATTGTAAATAAAAGAACAGTAAATAGGTTCACAATGTTTTTTAATATAATCTGCTTCCTCATAAATTCACATGTATACATCATTCTAAAATCAAAAGAGAATGATAAACAAACAATTCAGAATAAAAGTATTTTATGTTATACAGAATTCCTCTTCTTAATTGCCAAATTACCTCCTATTTGAATTTGTACAGTAGAGTTTTTCATGAATGAAATTTATCTTACTCAAGCAATTATTACAAACAATCATTTAAGCTAAAAATTCAAACATTGATGATCACTTATTTGGGTTAACACTGTGAAGAAGACTAAGTAATAATTGCTTTAGAAAAAATACTAGAGAGTTTTCTGTGATTACTCATTATAATTTAAAATAATGCTACAAGGAATGAAATCTTGTCTTGTGAACTTTTTCTTATTTGAATATGTCAATATGAGTACTTACTAACACAGTTCAAGTAAATAATAGTTTTCAATAATGGTGAATTTAATTGTTAAAACTGCACATTCTCAAGTCATATAATTCTTTTTTTTTAATAATAATGACTGACATTATTTTGTATTAAGATCAAAATGAAAATGGTTTTACTATTCCAGTGCTAAATTATAAGATCTTTATAGGAAATGTTATCCTTGATTTTCTTGATGACAGACAAACATATGCAATTATGCCAATTTTGTCTATGGAAGCTCCTTTGCCTTAAATTTGTAACCCAAAACTTAATGATGAAATAGAGAAGATACAATGAAGTATGCCAGGAAAGCCAAACAAGAAAGATAAAAATTCCCAGTGTAGTTTACTTATTTATTTAGAAACAGCTTAAAAAACAAACAAAAACCTTCAGAGTATTTAGCTTTTATTAACTGATTGGTTCATTACTGTTGGTCACTGACATAACACAGTATTATTAGTTATTCATTCCCTTTAACTTGAAACTTAGGTGACAGTGGAAAATGAAAAGTTAGATTTTGTTATAGGTAATATAGACTTTTTAAAAATTACTGGAGCCTTAGTGACTATGACTATTTTTTTATTGTTGTTATTTGTTTTTTACCACACACATAATACCAGATATATGTTTTAGTGTATATAGTTATGTATATAGTAATTTCTCATTGCAGAAAAAAACATTTTGGAATGAGTGATGTAAGGTAGTTAAATTAGTGATAAATCCAAATTCTGGGATAGTTTTACTTATTTATTACAACTACATTAATAATAAAGTAGCATTGTGTATATTGACCTCCCAAAAAGATCTGTGTATGGTAAAAAAAGGATAATCTAGTGTACACCATTATTTTTAGCATACAGGAACTATTCAATTGAATAAATTAATAATGAATTAACTAATACCAAAAAAATTACTCCTTTTAATAAACACATTAGAACAGTTTTAAAAGGTACAATGGTGTTAAAGTACCTCCTTTACAACTTTGCATTTGCATCGTACTTTTTCAAAGTAAGTTAACACATTGCTGAGTTTAATCCTGATAATGAACCTTGAGTCAAGTGGGCCTTATTATTTTTATTTTGCAAAAAAGGAAACTGAAACACTGAGAGACAGCATGACTAGATGATGAAAACAAACCACTTATGTCTTAGCCAGATCCACGTTTTAACTTATTTCTCCATGACATTTTTTTCTGTTCCTAAGAACTCTTTAGTTACTAGATTTTTCCTGTTATGACTCCCTTGTTTTGTTTCTACTAGTTTATTGTTTTTATCTAATCTTAACTATTTTATTTCACCTTCTATTCTAAGTTCCCTACATATTTCTCATTATCAAATTAAGCAGAAATTAAAATAATACCCTGTATTTACTCTGCTGTAACATTACGAAAGTGGACTAAGAAGAATTCAACGATATGGAGATTTCCATCTCAAGCAATATGGCTGACTAGAAACCCTAGAACAAAAATGAATGTGGTAAACAAGAGATCAAGTTTAAGTAAGGTCCTACGTCTGTGTATGCATGTGTATGTATGTGAGAGTGAGACAAAGAGAAATCAAAGATCTCTGCACAAATCCAAGAACTTAAAAATGCAACATCCTTGGAAACAACCCAAATGCTAAAAAGTGGATGACTGGATTAAAA